TGAATAAACCAATCCAGGCCCGCTACTGAAGTAACCAGATTTTCATTAGTAAAGGTTGGGGGTCTGGAGGAAGAAAAGTAATCAATACTACAAATTAAATCCAGTTAAAACCTTCTAATGTTCTCCTTCAATGTCAGTACTGATTAGACTAAATATCAGGTTACTTTATTCCCAGATTTCTTTGTAAATAATTTAATTTCTGGAGCAGCACTAACAAAGAACTTGTAGGAAATCTTTCTGAAGAGAAATCTTGCATTTTAAAAGGAAAGAGCGGCGTCTCTAAGGCTATGTCCATGCTTCTGAATAATAGAAGGTCAGGGACTGTTGCTGATACCAGAGACCAAAAGACATGGCCTGGCAGTGTCCACACTGCATCCTGGCCTTGGGCAACATCTAGACCTGAAGTGAAATGATGAAAGGGTTAAGTTGCAGCCCACCAAGTCCTGTTCTATGCAGCATGAGCTTGAGATTCTTAATGTCTGTGGCTTATAGCATGGCCGCATGTAGGGGCACAGGCAGGTTCAAAGCTGCCTGTGTACAGTGTAGGGATGCAAACCAGATGCAATCTTGTCCCTGGCACACGCTGTCCTACTGACCCAGGCCAGGGCACTTTGTCTGTGAGCACAAGTCAGCACTGGCCAAACCCATGGCAAGGGACCAGAAGACTTGTGACTGGCTGAGCCTGCCCTCCAGTCCTGCCTTTGTTTACCGCTATAGGCGTAATTCCCTACTGCCACCAGACCCAAAGAGGCTCCAGGCGGGGGGTGCTGGCAGTGGATGACAGTGCTGAGCAGAGCAGGATGCTCAGGACAGCCCTGCTCTTTCTTGGCTTGATCACAGAGAGGCAGAATACAGAGATATAAAACCTGCTCCCACCCAGACCCAAGGCCCAGAAAGCCTCCACTGTGCCTTGAACCATGAATCACTGCCCCGACAACTTTGCTAATTGATAATAAGATTGATAATGATTACCTCAATGTCCCGGATTCTTCTTAATCTTGGAGAAGATGGAAAAAGAGCTGTCTGTGCTTTTTGAATTGATCTTCTTGCTTCTGCTTCTAGTTTTGTTTCTGGACGTGGATGGTCATGAGCTCCTTTGGACTTCAGAAAGAAATTATGGTGTGCTTACCTTAGAAACAACCTTGTTATTAATCTTAAGGGAGCAGAATTTGTAGCACAAGCCAGACTCACACATATGACCTGATTTAATACTTTTTTTTAGTAAGACTGTGAGCTCAAGTAATAAACCTATCTCAGATGAAGTCTGATGGGGTAAAAATTCTCTGAAATCTTAAAAGCAGTGCACCACATTTATATGCAGAAGAGACTCCCCAAGACAGAGCACCAGCTGAAGCCACAAGGCCTTCTGCAGCCTGGCCACAGTGTCCCTCCAGTCAGTTCTGTCCTTTTCACTCTTTAGACATGTTTATCAGAACATTAATTTCCATTAGCTTCCACAGAGGATTTATTTTATTTAACCTGCACTTAAGAAAAAGACAGGAAAACAGGAGACAGTTCAGTGGTTATGTTACTAAACTAGGTCTACAGCTTCCAGAAATAGTGCCCATTATTTAAACGCTTGCATACACTGTTTTCTAGATATAAGTTGCATATCATATACAGATGGCATTTTCCATAGACAGTCCCTTGGGTACAACCTTTTTCTGTTCTACGATAGCCTCATGTTTATGCATGGTGCCTTGTAGAAGAGGTTGAGATAACATGGCATTTCTGACTTTTTGAGGTTTCATTGGTTCCTATGTACCTGAGGCAAAGTGCTTCAAAATCACCAGCTTTTCATGGGAGCCTAAATGAAGAATAAAGTATGCTGTAAAATCATAGTAAGACAGGCTAATTTAGGTTGGAAGGGACATCTGGAGGTCTAGCTCAACCTCCTGCTTAGGAAGACTAATTTCAGAGTTAGATCAGGTTGCCTAGGACCTTGTCCACTCGCGAAAATTTTCTTCCTTACAGTCATTTGACTTTGTCATATTTAACGACCCTTATTTATTGGAACAAAAAATGTCCTTAATCAGTCTGAAGAAACAGTCTTAAAAACTAACTTGAATAATGTAAGGTAATTTTATACCAACCTGAAAAAATATGAATTGGCCTTCATGCCTCCAGAAATTGGTAACTGGATAACCACCATGGCCTCGGCAGGAAAGGAGCTGCAGTGGTCCATTGCAATTTGGACAGCATTTCCCTAGAGTAAAGATGGTAGGAAATATTTTCTAAACAGCACCGATCAGGTGAATCCCATGTGATACAACAGTTCATTGGTGGTGGATTGCCACTTCTGGTTTGCATCTCAGAAAGTACACTGAGAAAAACTATGCAAATAAAATTTCAGATGTAAGCAAAAATCAATGTAAGCAAACTAATCATTGCCTTTATCCTGTTCCATTATTAAATACAACTGGCAACATTTATTTCTACTGTAGTTTTGTTATCATTTTATCATTTATTATCATGGTCAATGTCAGTTGTTTTTGACTTGGCAGTATCTGGAATGTCATATGTGTCTGATTTTTCTAGAGAACATCATTCTGACCTCAGCAAATGCTTGAGTAATACCTTTCTTTAGACAAAATGTTCATCAGATCCAGAAATCAGTATGCGCTAGCTCTACCGAGTGATCAACAATTATTTGGAATGGTCTCGTTAAAAATGTGCGTGCAGGTCACATTCTCTATTTGCATTGTCTTGTTCCAGTGACATGACTGTGAGGCCTATTTTCCAGTCATCACAGCTGAGTTACTCTTGGGCCCATGCAATAATGAAGCCAACACTCAGGTTAGCAGGGACAGCACAACAGGAAGCTGCCTGCTCTGCACACCTTTCTCAGTAGTCTCACTCATAGGCCTGAGAAAGCTGAGAATCAGTCTCTAGCCATCAGAAACAGAGATTAAAAAAGAAAAAAAAAGAAAACAAACAAGTGAACAACTCCTCCCCCAGAAATAGAAAATGCATTGTTCCAAAATAAAAGTTGCATTTGAATAGAAAGAATGGCTGTGGGAAGGCTGGATAATCCAACGGGTATCCCCTACTTTTATTTCTTTTATGCCATGTTCACTTATGAACTGCCTTATAGTGAACAGCCACGTTCATACTCACGCTGTTGTTTTTGCCTAGCTTTATCACATATGGCTGGTCTTAGGTAGATCTTCCTCCCATCCAAGGTCGAGCAGTCATTGCCACAGACCACCACCCCCAGGCAGGACTTCTTTAAGATGCGGGAGTTGTGGTTGTTGGTGTTTCTCATGGCCCAGCTGCTGTGGTGCCTCTGAGCATTTTTATCCTCTGAGCTATAGATATGTTTTACGTAGGAATCTGGCCATTCTTGAAACCAGTCTGTCTGTCTTACGTCCTGTGGAGAGATGAATGCAAACCACCTTTTAGGCTGGGGAAGAGAAGAGCTTGTGCAAGAGCCCAGCAGACCTGGGCCTCTGCTGGGTGTCCTCTAGCCTGGGTGACTCCAGGACCCTGTCGGGTGATGCTCGTTGGCAGGAGGGAGCAGTGGAGAGAAGGCAGAAAAGCCACAGCTCCCCATGGCTCTCCGCAAGCCCCAAAGCATCAGGAGGGACTGGCCAGGTAGTTGTTCTCTCACCCACGGGTCCAACTCAGTGCAGGACCTCCCTCGGAGAGAAAGGTGGGATGTCTGATGTATAAAAGCAGATACTTTCCTTGAAGGCAGTGGTCGCTGCCTGACTAACTTCTGTTAGCTTTCATGGCAGAGACCTTGCTTTGCCTTTGAGGCTATTCACAGCAGCGTTACACCAAATCGTTTGGCTTGATTTGGTTCAACTTGCTGGAAAAAGGACAGATGCTGAATCATACTGAGACTATGCACACATCTGTAGGTCTTTAGTTCTGGACTTTGGTTCATTTTGGCTTAACTGCCGTGAAAGACTTCAATGGTGACTTTTCTGAAGTCCAAAACAAAGAACCCTGACATCCTGGTCAGGTTTTATTTCCACTGTTATGAACTAAGCAAAAAAACCCCAAGGACAAAACTGTAAAGAAACATAAAAAATTAAAATGAATGGGGAAAAGAAACACCAAAGGACCAAACACACATGACCTCGGTAAAATCACAGTCAATGCACACAGTAATCACAGTAAAATGCAGTAAGCTGTAAATCACCCCACAGACTCGCTGATGGTGTTGACGGAAAACTTTCTGTAAGGGTACAAAAAAATCAGTAGAAATTTCCTTGAAATTTCCAATCCTAGCCACTGAGAGACATTACAGCAGCAAGAAGATCATCTAAGAAGGGAAAAACTCTTGTGCTCATCCAGGAGCCATCAGATAGCGTAGGGAAGGGTGTGGAGGAAGCCCCCAGGCTGAAGTGCAGGTGAAGGTGACCTTAGGGTGGGGGGCAGGGAAGGAGGCAGCCTGCAACATGGAGGCTTTGGGCAAAGAGCAGTGACATAGAGGGGGAGAGACTGGGATGAGGTAAGAAGACAAGGGTGAGAGGTGAAAGGCAGAGTTGGATACTGAAGAACCAGAGCAGGAGGAATCTGGCACAAATAAGTTGAGGTGAGCAACGGTGAGATGGTAGCGCGCAGGGTGCTGTGGGCTTTCTGTGGAGAGCACGGTTGAAATGTTTAGATAGGAAAGGACTGAGGGAAGGAAAGATGGTTATTCTGCCTCTCAGCAAATCTCTGCAAATGCAAAGCCAGCTTTTCCCAGGTGCTCATGAAAAGCCAGCCTGCTTGCCTGGCCACTGATCGACAGCGAGGCTGAGCACCCACAGTAACGAGGCACTTGTGGGTGCGGTACTCAATTCTCATAAACCACCATCCAAAGCAAAAAGCAAGTCCTGGCTATCTCTAATTAAGCACCCACAGCAGGAAAGAAGTCTTTTTCCCTGCTTTCTCCACACTTCATTCACGAGTTGACTGGAAAAGTGAAAATGCGTCTGCAGCATTGCTATTTTCATGTATCAGCAGCTCCTGCAATAAAATATTTAAGGAAAAATACGTCGAACCTTCAGTATTTGCTCAATATTTCCTAGCTTTTCAGTTATGCGCTGTCCTATACCTCAACATGGCAAAGAGAATAAAAGCAATAAGGCATAAATGACCGAGAAAACATTTAAGACCAGCAGTGGAGGTGACTTGGCAGAACTGGATAAATTTCTAAGACACCGACACATACCTGTGGAAGTTTGATGTCATTGATATCCCAGCTTGTCAGTATTCCATGTCGGGAAGCAGAGTCCTCCTGCTCCATAACAACATCATCTGCACCTTTCAGCATTTTTGAATTCCCCCCCGAAGTTAGCCAGAAAGTTTCTCCTGGCTGCTTTTGAAGTTGACTGGCTGTCAGCCCTCTCAGGCACTTCACAACCAGGAAGTTGTTTCCTCAAGCTAAATGGTAGAGAGACTGCTCATTAAAGATAAAAATCAGTGTTCTTCTGCCAGAAAAACTTGTTCCATTAAAAGTTTTGCAAGCCGACAATGCAGTGGAAAATATAGCTTAGAGATAGCCTGTGATGTTACAGAGGCATTGTTAACAGCAAGCAAATCGTGCCTTTGTCATCTGTTTTGTTTTTCTTGGTCTCTCCTCATACCAAGTTTATAGCCATGTAGCTCTGCTCGCAGGCTCTTTGCATATCTGATCCAGCTTTGGCTCAGTAGTTTCAGAGCCAAACCGACTGAGCAGCTTGGCAGCTGCTAAGGGCCCTTTGAGTCGCTGCCTCCCCATTAGATACATCACACGCAGCACGGGAGAGAGGGGAGCGACACGAGGGGCCTGTTCCATCTTTTCAGGTGAAATGGCCCTGAGCCATTTCGGTTAGAGTTGGCATCCCTGAGAGCTTACCAACTGCAGGAGGGAAATGTGGGAAAGGAGGTTGGGCTAACCCGCATTCTCCTATCTCAACAGCAGATTGAAGTAAAAAAAAAAATCCCACTGAGGTGTAGTTGTTAAAATCAACAGACTTTTTGACTGAAATCTTGTAAAACAGGTGGTTGGCCTACTCTGAATTTCAACTGGCAAATTCAAGTGTGAGGCATTTTTCATTCACTATGTAATTACTGTAAGTTTTTCTAACAAAAATATTTTCCTCACCCTGCAAGCCTTGCCTGACATTTCTTTAGACTCTTATGCTACAGCATTACTACTAGTATTGCTGTAGTATGTCACTAGTTGAATACGAGGTAAGACTGAGAAAGAGATTAAACAAACAGGAAATAGCTAATATTTGAAGGTCTGCTAATAATACCGTGCAACATCTGGAACACAGTACATTTAGAAAGATATTAAGCCTCATATTTTATGACTTCTGGAAATTTTTAACTAGCAGGGATTAGGAAGGTTTCTTGTATTTTCCTTAGAAGTACTTTGTGTTGGCCACTTAGGAAAAGGATGATGAAATTTTAAAAGAGATTAGGTATATTACCAATTTATAGGAGCCTAGAGGTTAGTTTAATTCAATATAACATGCAAGCTCTTACTTGGAAGGACAATCCTGCAGACCTTAATCACAGGCAGATGTCAGGAGTTCAAGAGGTTAAGGAATGGAAAAAGCCCTGGAGCCCTAAAAACCTTCTTGCATTCAGGCTCACACTCTGGAGAGGGCTATGAAACCCTGTGGAGCAGTGCCTGGGGCAGGCAGCTGGGGGTGCAGAGGTTGCCCACCCCGTCCTTGGCTGCAGGGCTCTGCTGAAGGTCAGTAGCTGGTGGCAGGAACACGTAGGTGTAAGCCATTAGGAATGGTCACCAGAGCAAGCTCCTTTCTTGTACTGTTTCACCACCACATGATCAAGGTTCTTTTGTCAGTGCTCCTATTATAGAATCACAGAATCACAGAATAACAGTTTTGGTTGGAAGAGACCTTCAGGATCATCAAGTCCGGCATTTTCCTAGCCCTGTCAACACCACTAAACCATGTCCCTCAGCCCAACATCCACCCGTCTCTTAAACACCTCCAGGGATGATGACTCAGCCACCTCCCTGGGCAGCCTGTTCCAATGCCTGACAAGCCTCTCAGTAAAGAAATTCTTCCTAATATACAACCTGAACCTCGCTTGGTGCAACTTGAGGCCATTTCCCCTTGTCCTATGACTTGCTACTAGGAAGAACAGACTTCTCTCTTTGGTGTTGTCTTTCAGCAATGACAAACTTTATCTGATCGCAGGTGCAGTTGGTGGCCCTTTACATGGTCTGAGTTGCCAACACCATATGTTTCACTATCTTCTATAGCTGCCTTTGTGCCTTGCCTTCAAGCATGTGATTTTCCCTGACACCAAAAAGTTCTCCCTGCTCAAATACTGAAGGATGTCTTGGACTCTTTTTTTTTGTCAGACTACAAATATGTAGTTTGCATCACTTTTGCCCCTCTGGGTTAAGTCACTACTGAGTGCAGACTCTCAGGGTGGCTTTGCTGGAGGTGCTGCGTACTGCCTGCCTGCGCTGCACGCGACAGAGACACGCACGCAGACCGTCGTAGCTTCTTACTAAGGGGATATTAAAATCCTGCCGATGGGATGGTAATTTGTTGAACTGTTCTAACTCCATAGCTTGTGATCAGCTCAGTTTTCCCTCTGCATCTCATTTTTCATTTTCTATTTACTTCTCTGGCTGTTTCCAGCAGACAGATGCAGTTGTGGGAATGATTTGCCAGAGGCACTGCCACATGAGTTTAATGTCCATACATTTGTATCATATGCAATAAATATTTCTGCCAGGCCTCGGTCTCTTTTCTTCAGGAAACTGATATTTGTCCACTTGTGGATTAGCTCTCAAGCAGTGTTCTCAGGTGATAGCCTGGTAGTTGTATGATTTACTATTGGACAGAATATTATGAATAATTTATTTTTTTTTTCTGTCCTTATGGCAGTGTTTTAGCATAAAATGCTAGGAATACCTCTTTTTCTGCCACGAGAAGAACACAGCTCCAACTGAAAGGTTTTGGGCCTGAGCTCCTTTTAATCATCTAGGATGCTGGAGTGTATGCAAGCAGATGTTTAATTGTATTTCTCATTAACTTTAATAAAGCTGTGAGCTCTAATGCTTTGGCAGTGAAGTCTAGCTTTCTCTTCACTTTATCAATCTCTGTAATTTTTTCTCTTAACATAGCAGACACTGCAAAGCATGTGATGTTCTAGACATCATATTTACTTCCTGGGGTAAATTTAACAGTAGCTATTCAACATATGCAAACCCATCACGATAATATCGTAACAGTATTAATATTGGGATGCTGTGGTGGATTCAGATCTGGATAAAATGTTGACTTAACTTGTGCATCTTGCTGAGTGTATGAACTATCTTTCCTGGGTTTTTTTCATTATGATCATAAATTCATAGAATCACAGAATCATAGAATCATAGAATGCGTTGGACTGGACGGGACCTTCAGAGGTCATCTAATCCAATTGCCCTGCATGGAGCAGGGACATCTTTAACTAGATCAGGTTGCTCAGAGCCCCATCACATGCATTATCTGAAATCACCAGCTTCTATGCATCACCTAAAATTTTAGTTTGTGCTTCTTGTGGGCCTTATGCTTAAAAATTGCAATAGCTTATGACAGTATTCTAATGTAATATAAAAATTACTTTAGTTTACGGCTATTCTGTTTTCGTATTTTGCTAGTTTTCAAAGCCTAGTGCATTTGCTCACGTCTCTTGATCTGACATTCAGTTTCCCATCTCATCTTTGCAACCGGTGCAAATACACTTAATTTTGTTGTTCTCCCTGGAATGAGTATCACATGCATGCAAAATCTCATCTCATGGATTGACACTTGCTTATTGAACGTGGTGCTTTTCCTTGCAGTTCTGTGATTTTCCCTTTTGTGAGTTAAAGAATGTCTAATTGCTAAATGAGTTGTCTTTCATGTCCATCTGCTTCAGAGCAAGAATTTGGTATGTCACTATGATTATCGTTTTCTTTGTTCCCTCTCTGTTGTTGCAATATGCATACTAATTTTTTTGTTGCAGGAACTGACTCATTTCTGGTGTCTCTGACAGCACTTTGCCTTTCTCCAGGGTCAGAAGGAGTATCACATCTGCTGAATCCATCCTCTGCTGCAAGTAATTCCAGAATAAATTCCTATCAGTTCATCATGTCCTAGCTTCAGAACAGCCACTGTTTCTGGTACAATCAGCTGCTGTGGTGATCCTTTATGTACACTGTGCTTCCCTTTCTATATCTTATCACAGAGTCATGTGTTCAGGTAGAACTATAAAGCTTTAACTAATTTGGTCTGCTATATGTTCAAGAACAAGAGGAGATTTTCCATAGCCTGGGCACCTTGTGAAAAACCTGAGTTTCATTCTGTTTGCTTGTTTTGCAACAGGACACAGCTTGCTTTACTCCTGAGAAAGCACAGCTACTCTTCCAATTGGACTGGGCTCAGTATCCAAGGGATGGGTGGAAATTTTAACCGTGACAGGAGTCAGGGCTTTTCCAGTTTTGGGAGTCTCAGATTACCCTTGGTTATCTATTTGATTCTGAGTCCTACCTCTGTGGCTTTCAGGAGAGAGGAATCCCAGCTGTAAGCCTAGGCTTGGCAGTCTTGATGTAGCTTCCTGAGATGGTTTCTGTCACCCCTTGGAATCCCTCAGCTCCCTTCCATGTCATTGGCCTCATCCGACGCAGCCCAAAAAAAGCTGGTCCAATATCCTCTAGTCAAACACTGTCCCCTTGGCCTTCGCAGCAGTTCTCAGCATCTATTTCTGTAGCTCCCCAGCAAAACTCTGTGAAGGCCAGCAGCACTTCTGCCTCATGGGAACTGAAACAGGCCACATGGGCAGTCCCTGCCTGTACTGATGAGTTGATAATTATGGCCTCTTTCTTTGTAAAAATTATGACCAACACACTCTTTTCTCATTTGATGTCCATCCATGACATAAGTGCATTTCTAAGCTTATCTCTTTCTCAAGACTGGCTTGGAAAAATCTACCTTCTTAAGAGTTTTGCCTGTGCTTGCTGCTATATCTCACACAGGAGCAGGGTGCAAAACTGAGTTTCTGAGGCTTCTGAGCTGGTGTCTGATGACTGCAATATCCCCACAGGGAGGAGAGCACCCATAGGTTTGCTTTTCTCTACAAAAACCTGTGCACCCTCCCTGTATTTTCTCCTGGCCTTCCCTGGTCCTAGCTCCAGTAGCCACTTGGCAGGCCTTGTTTCACTGGCAACTTGGTCATGTTAGGTCACGTGTAATTCTGATAAAATAATCTAATGGCACAAAGTAACACCTTGTTCTTTAAAAATCCAGGGGACTCTACTGCAGTTAAAGTCCTCAAAAGAAGAAAGGTGAATCTCCTAAAAGGGATGGCAGCAGCATTATTCTATATGTCACGTCCCTTGACCCACTTTCTTCACTCACACTCACCTATCCCCC